CCCCTCCCCTGACGGTTTTTACCGGGCTGACCAAGCCGTCGTACCGGGCTGGGTAATAAGAGAAAAGAAAGAGGGGAGAGGGAGGGAAAGTGGAAGAAGAGGAAAAGAAAAGGAAGAAAAAGAAGAGAAAAATAAAGATGACCAGACTCACAACACCATGCAACCCCTTCTCCACTTCAAAAACTGTCATAACTCCTTTGATCTATGCTGGCCGATGGCGTAACCACTGGGGGACAAGGGGAAAATATCTATCTTTGAAAAATCTTCTCCTACCCCTTTATAAATGCCCTTTTCATCCCTGAAAGTGCATAAAAACCTCAAATTTCGCGCGCTTCGTGCGCATTTCTTGTTAAAATGGGCCAATTTCCTAAAAAAAATTGCACATTTTAGGGAGTTTTGATCAATTCCAACGAAATTAGAATTAAAAACACCGGGAGACAAGGGGAAAATATCCATCTTTGGAAAAAACTTTCCCCACCCCTTGACAAATGCATCCTCTGCTGAGTGCCTAAAATTCTCAAATTCTTTGCGGGCATTTCTTGTTACGGTAGGACAATTTCCTCTATAAATTGCACATTTTAGGGAGTTTTCATCAATTCCAACGAAATTAGAATTAAAAACACAAAAATATTTTGCGCGCTTCGTGCGCATTTTTTAGGTTTATCCTTTGAAGTTATTTAAACACATAATAGTCCCAAACTCAAGAAAGACAAAATTAAGATAGATCGTTTTAACCTAAAAGAAGGGCCTCAATGTGTATTGATGGTGAAAGAATATGTTTGTAATAAATAAAACCATGACGAAAATGCTTATATTTAGTTTCAAACACACGTGTGCGGCCTATCTTATAAATAAAATAAGCCCTATGTCGTATTGTTTTCTATATGGGGAGTGGGGTGGGTACGGTAAATTACTAACCGGGAAAATAAATACCCACTCTGACCCACAAGACCCCTGTTACGCGCGTGGTGTTGGCGCCAATGTGTGCCCTTGTGCGGACCCGGGGATGTGCTCCCTCTGAAGCTGGAAACCTTGTTTTTGCAAAATAAATTGATGCAATTTGCTATTATAGGCCTAATCAATAAATTCCTCATCAACCGATATAACCTTAAACATTCTTGGAATTGACATAACATTACTCAGTCGTACACACCCTTCAGTGTGAAATGTGGCTCTCTTTGCAAGCACATCTAACATCTAAGGAAAGAAGAGCTTAGATTGGTACCAGATAAAATAATTTTGTTATCAACATTAATGCATTATGCTAATTTTCATATTTGTAAGCGCATAAGACAGTGCAAATTATTTCTGTGACAGTCTTTTAGAGTGTGTAAAGCTCAATTTTATCCCATACATAGTCAAAATATTGGGGGATCATACAATGGACCATCGCCCCCCCTTGTCAAATATTTGGTTGGGGGGATATATCCCCCATCCCCCCGGGATATACGCCTATGCACTTAATAAATATGAGGCAATTTAACACTGTGCGCTACTATACCCAGTTTGGTTCTAATTGAACCCATATTGATAAGGAATAGGATGAACTTAATAAGTACGAGGCAGCCAACACACTGTGCGCTACTATACCCAGTTTGGTTCTAATTGCGCACATATTGATAAGGAATACGATGAACTTCATAAATACGAGGCAGTTTAACATTGTGCGCTGCTATACCCACTTTGATTCTAATTGCGCATATATTGATAAGGAATAGGATGAACTTCATAAATACGAGGCAGCTAACACACTGTGCGCTACTATACCATTTCTTTCTTCACGTTACTCTCGATGCGCGCAAACCAGCACCTGCCAAGAAAGTTGTGACTTTTAGAAAATTTAATAACATTGACATCAACATTCTCGATCGGAGAATTGCGCATTCTCTCTCTAATTTTAGTGATGACATGGATGTGAACAACGCAATAACCCAGTACAACAATACACTTACCTTACTTAGAGATGAACTGGCCCCATTAAAATCTAAGACCGTTTCTAATCATGCATCCCCTGCTTGGTTCACCAATAATTGTAGGATAGCTAAACAAGCAAGACGTAAAGCTGAGCGGAAATGGCTGAAATCTCAAGATCATTGTGATTTCGCCGAGGATAAGATCCAATGCAATATTTACCACCGTACGCTTGAAGATTCTCGGGTTTCTTACCTCCAGTCTAAGATCGACGGATGTGGACATGATCAGAGAGCTCTGTTCAAACTTGCCAACAAGCTACTTGGTAGGACAACCGTGGCAAATTTATCACCATCATCCAGTAAGCTTCAGTTGGCTACTGACTTTAACACATTTTTCGTTGATAAAATCAAACGTTTGCGTCAGAGTACCGGTATCTCTATCAAATCTGAAGTTTCATCTTTCACGGCTGCATCGCATCCCTCATGTCATATCACCAAACTTGAAAGCTTTGAGACAATCAGTGAAGACACGGTTGCAAAACTTCTTATACCTATGGCACCAAAATCTTGTGATTTGGATCCTTTCCCTACCAAAATTGTTCGTAAACTCAAATGTGCTGTCTCATTATTTCGTTCTCTTGTCAATTCGTCCCTATCCTCCGGCATTTTTCCTGACTCTTTAAAGATTGGTATTATTACGTCACTCTTGAAAAAATCGACATTGGATCCTCATTCGTTTATCAATTATCAGCCAGTTACTAATATCCCTTTTGTAGCCAAGATCATTGAGAAAGTTGTCTGTTCAATTCTTGTTAAGTTTTTAAATTCCAATAATTTATTTGATTCTTACCAGTCAGCCTTTAGAAAAGCACACAGTACGGAATCTGCTGTAATGAAAGTTAATAATAATATTTTGCAGGCCCTTGACAACGGATATTGTACATTATCAGTGTACCTCGATTTGTCCGCCGCGTTTGATACCATCGATCACAGTATCCTCATTGATCGACTTTCAGCTTTAGGGATTTCTGGTACAGTATTAACATGGTTCAACTCTTACATAAAATCTAGACAACAGTCTGTTAG